GCAAGCCAATGGCTCCCTGATGGGAGGGACTCTTGTCACACAAGTAACTGAACCCTTACGCCTAGAAATAGGTGCGCACTGGGAGTTTATTCGCTTCCTAGTGGCTCCAAAAATGACTGAGATTGTAATCCTAGGGCTAGCCTGGTTGGACAAATGGAAGCCACTTATCTGGTGGGAGAAAGGAATGAGAACTGTAAGACTACCTATAGGGCCTAAACCTCCTGCCAATTCAACTGATGTTGCAGGACATCTTAGGCCACCTGATGAGCGAGCGCACATGGCTGCCTCACCGTCACCGAGCGAACCACTCATCCCCAATGAATACTGGGAACTGGCGGAGGCATTTAGTGAAAAAGAATGCGATGCCCTGCCCCCTCACAGACCCAATGACTACTCCATCGAAATGGTGCCAGGAGCCAAACTCCCATGCTCGAGAATGTATGCTTTGTCCCCCCTCGAAATGGAGGAGATGCAGCAGTACGGGAACAAAAACGTAGCGAGGGGGGTTCATCGAACGGGCCAAATTACAATGGGAGCCCCTGTGTTGTTCAAAGAGAAAAAAGATGGCTCTCTTCATCTCTGTGTAGACTATAAGGGTCTCAATGCGGTGAGTGTGGAAAATAAATATCCCCTCCCCCTTCTAAAGGACTTATTAACCCATCTGGCTAAGGGGAGTGTCTTCACTAAATTAGACCTGAGAGAGGCATATTACCGGGTGAGAATAAAAAAGGGAGACGAGTGGAAAACTGCCTTCAACTGTCCTATGGGGAGCTATCAGTTCAAAGTCATGCCATTTGGACTACAAGGGGCCCCAGCCGTATTTATGCAGTTGATTAATGAGGTCCTACATGATCACTTGTACAAAGGGGTTTTGGTATATCTTGATAATATCCTGATATACAGCACAAATATGACTGATCACATAATGCTGGTGAGAGAAGTGTTAAAGAAACTATTGAATGCCAAGCTTTATGCCAAGTTGTCGAAATGTGAATTTCACCAGACCCAATTAGATTATCTTAGCTACAGAATTTTCAACAAAGGCATTGAAATGGATCCAGCCAAGGTAAAAGCTATAATCGAATGGCAGCCCCCAAAGACTCGCAAACAGCTCCAGAGCTTTCTCGGTTTTGCCAACTTTTATCATCAATTCATCCCCTCTTTTGCCGAGATTTCCCTACCCCTTACAGAACTACTCAAAACAGGCAAAGGAGGAGGGAAGCCACGACTGGGCCAACTACTAGCATGGACGATGAGCTGTCAAACAGCTTTTGAGAATTTAAAGAGACTATTTGCTGCTGAACCGGTCCTAAAGCACCCCTGCTTAGGGGAGCCCTTTGTGATTCAAGCCGATGCCAGTGATGTGGCAGTTGGAGCTGTGTTACTACAAAAGAACAAAAGTGGGGTCCTGCAACCCTGCGCCTATACCTCTAAGAAATTTACTGAAAGCGAGCAGAGATGGGCAATCTGGGAGAAAGAGGCCTTTGTGATCAGGTGGGTGCTATTAAACTGGCAACACTATCTAGAAGGGAGCAAGGTTCCATTTGAAGTATGGACAGATCACAAAAATCTAGAAGCACTGAAAACTCCCTGCAAATTGTCCCCAAAGCAAGTGCGGTAGGTACAGTACTTTAACCATTTCAACTTCACTCTAAAATACATTCCAGGAGGAAAAAACTTCCTAGCTGATGCGCTATCCCAGTTACCCCAATACAAAAGCGAACGGGAGGAGGTTAACGAGGCAGTTATCCCCAATCCACAAACTACCACTCAACTTATGCCTCACAAGGTCCCCAATCCTGATGACCCTAGAAGAAAATAAAAAGAGAGCTCCTCACCGATCAATGGTTCAAAGATAATCAAACCTCCCTAACGTGCAGGAATAGCTTGGCTTACAAAGGGGGGGGGGACTATATTTGCCAGATGCCCTCCATCTTAATATTCTCAAACACAGCCATGATGTAAAACAGGCTGGACACTTTGGATATTTGAAAACCCTACACCTCACCCGCTGGCAATTTTGGTGGTTGGGGCTGAAAAGGGATGTGGAAAACTATGTAAAAAGTTGTACTGTATGTGCCACAATGAAAAGAATCCCAGGGAAAACCCTGGGTTACTGCAACCCGTGGCAGACCCTTTTCAACCATGGGAAGAAATAGCTATGGACTTTATAGTAGACCTACCTGAAAGTAGAGGAAATACTGTCATCTGGACTGTGATAGACCTGGTTTCAAAGCAGGCTCATTTCATCACCTGCAAAGGACTCCCATCTGCCCAACGACTGACCAAATTGTTCCTGAAACATATCTACTGGCTGTATGGTGCCCCTAAGCAAATAATTTCGGACAGGGGGATGAAATTCACAGCGAAGATTTGGAGGAGTTTTCTTAAATTAATTGGATCATCTCAAGGTTTATCATCTGCTTTTCATCCTGCCACCAATGGGGCTGCAGAATCCACTAACAAAATGGTGGAGCAATATCTTAGATGCTACGTTTCTTACCAACAGACGAACTGGACTAACCTCCCTTTTGCGGAGGTGCCATACAATAATTCTGTGCACAGCAGCACTGGCTACACGCCTTTCAGAGTAGCCACAGGGAAAGAGTCAGCCCAATACCTGAATACCCTCAAGTGCCCTCCACTTCCCAGACACTTGACCAATGGGTGAGAGGGTGGGAAGAAGTTTGGAGAAACACAAAAACTGCTTTAAAAAAGACTTTTTTAAAAAGCAGGCTGATAGAAAGAGGGCTCCCCAAAGAACATTCCAAGTTGGGGAAAAGGTTTATTTGTCAACTAAATATTTATGCCTCAAATTGCCCAGCAAGAAATTGGGACCAAAATTCTTGGGGCCTTTCCCCATAGTAAGGATCATCAATCCGGTCACCGTAGAACTAAAACTCCCTAGACTTTTAGGGAGAATTCACCCAGTCTTCCATTGCAGCTTGTTGAAATCTTATCGGGGCTCCACTTTAAGACCTCCCCCGAAGAAAACACCTGGGCCCCTCGTAGTTGCGGGACAGACCCACTATGAAGTGAAATGTATTCTTGACTCTAGAATTTTTAAAGGGAAATTGCAGTACCTAGTACAATGGAAGGGATACCCGTTGTCTGAAGCCACCTGGGTGAAATCGAGTGAAGTGAAAGCTGACAGGCTCGTCAAAAGGTGTCATGCAATATACCCCAACAAACCGAAAACTAGTCATTAACATATGCTTTTGTTTACCTTACAGGATCTGTCCTTTTTGAAGGGGGGGCGGATGTCAACACTGCTAATATTGAATATTCTTGCTTTGACAAAATATGCAGAACTGTCTGGTACTTTTAGAGTTAATTCAGATGAGAATGAGAGAGGATAGAAAAGCCCACAAAAGGGAACGGAAGTGAACCTTTGCCCTCCAGGTTAATTGGAAGATGTGAATCATGACCCCAAAATAGGGGAGGAGAAATGCCTGGAATGTTATGTGCAAAGGAAGGGAAATTCAGATCTTGGCATCCATCATGCCATGCTGACACGCCTCTACACTAATAAAGGCTTTTTAAGGTTAAACCATACCTGAAAGTTCTTTCATTAGTCAGACACATGACACAAAGATAACCAGCAACTATTTCATTCAATATTGTTTGACAATATACAATAGCTTTCTTCCAGACTAAGGTACAATCTTTGCCTAGTAATCAGGCTGAAAACAAATGTCCCTAAAAATTCTGGTATTTTTATTATGAGTGGTTCTGACTTTCTTTGGCATCTTGTATGTTTTTCTTTGACATTTTGCTATTGTAGATTACACTGAGCCATCTGGCAAATGCTTAGGCTTCCAAATAAATGAGTTGGAGGCCTTCCCCTTTTTCATGGCACCAGACAACAGTTGATTTGTATAAGGCCCCATTCTCCTAGGAAAGAAGATTTTGTTTTTTAAAGACTGACCTATTTAAAACTCTTCTCATATGAAGTACAAACATAAATATTACTTTTTCCACTTATACATAACATATGCTAGCTCTGAGCTGAGTAAATCCGGTACAATGTCTATATAAAATTTGGACAAAGTTCTGAACAGGATAATTGTTCCTTGATTATATTGTCAAATCTATGTTGTTCACTGACAGATGATTGAAAAAAATATATACTAGGTAACTTTTCCTAGTTACAGTAGTGTTTGCACAGAAATCTATCATTCCATATAAAAACCTGGGAATTTTATAAATGCCATGTTAAAATGGTCCGTTTTGAGTTTTAGAACCTTTGGTCTCACAGGGCTATATTTTCTAACACACCCTATTGTTCCATCTAATGGAAATTGTAATTCAGGAATACCCCAGGAATCAGAGGTGACTGTGGCAGGGCATATTTTGGAAATAATTTAGAAAGGGTGCTTTATGGTACATGTATCTAATCATGAATGTAGATTATGTTTGCAAGTTTTTGACTGGCGTGTTCTTTGCCAAGTTTGATTGTTGCGCCATCTTCAGAGGCTGCATGATCCTGGAAAAGATTAAGTTGCTTTAAGGAGGTGCCAGCAGATGCCACATTTGGGTGACCCTGCATACTCCAAAGCACATTTTTGAGAACTGAATCTGAAGTACTGTGCAACTCTAATATATTTACTGAGTATGATGAACAAATGTACTCAGCATGCCTGGTATTTAATTGTAAACTGTTTTTGGAATGTTTGCTTGGCTAAAGAAAATATCACTTTTCATTTAGCAACAAAAATTTAATGATTATTTCTTTAAAAAAGAGCCGGTTTGATGTAGTGGTTAAGGTACTAGACAAGATACTGGGAGAACACATGACTGCTGGGTGACCTTTGGCCAGTTCTGTCTCTCCGCCCAAATCACCTCACAGGGATTTGGGGGGAAATAGAAGGAAGAAGAATTATGTATGCTGCCTTGATTTGTACAAATATATATACATGGAATAAAAATCAAAGAAATTATTAACAACAGATTAAAAATGTACACATTTACACATATGCACATTTTGTCTCCATTTTCAGTGCTCTGTCTGGCTATAATGGAACTATATTTGCCTATGGACAAACAGGCAGTGGCAAGACCTTTACGATCACTGGGGGAGCAGAACGTTACAGTGATCGGGGGATAATTCCACGGACCCTTTCTTACATATTTCAGAGGTTGCAAAAGGTCATTGTTTCTGTTGTTTTCATTTAAGAATAACTTATTTACAGAAATATACAATTATGTAAATAAATTTTGATTTCATGTTGCTTTCTATAGCCTCAAGAAGATTAAGGTTCTATATATTTAACAGGAAATCAAAGAACTAAAAATTGTCAAGTTGCAACTAAGTTATTTTAATAGAAGAGAATATCTGCAGCTCTGGAGTTCTTTGCTTGTAGATATTTCTACATTACCTGACTAGATAACAACAATAGTACTAGCACTCACTAGGGCCAATGATGTTATTTAGTTGGGTAATGAAGTGTTTACAAACAAACAACCCAGCTCAGAGAGCACCAAGGACTCCAAAGTGTTCTTTTATGCAGCAATGGTATTGTATCACAGAAAGCTGGCTTAAAGTTTTAAGTCAGCCTGTCATCGTTCAGTTTGTTTGGCCACCTGCTCAAAAGTTTGTATTAAAATAGGTTAATACTAATTTATGTGACATTTCCTTAAAACTGTAGTATAGTTATTGTCTGAGTTACAACAGCTCAGAAGATCTGAGTCTCCCTTGATATGAAGGAGCAGGTGTGTTTGGATCTCTCCTAGAATAGTCTTGCAAGACAGAAAACACACCCAGATGAACTAATTTTACTTTATTGTAAGGGTACATAAACAAAATATTGCAAGTCTGAAAGTACATTTCTCCCACATCATTTTTACAGCCCAAGAAGTACGCCATGCCCACATTCCTTCTGTAGGCTAAACTGCTTCTTATCTCAGTGCTCCTTTGGCTGTGTCTCGGTTCCTCTGTGCCCCAAGGTCATTCCCACATAGAGACTCTGGCCAGGTGAGCATTTGGCCAGCAATCTTACTTGGAATTCAAGGACTTCCCAACAATAACTCATACCCTCATTACTATTCATACAAACTACCATAAAGCATTCTACACAGGGCTGCCTTTGAAGATCACTCAGGAACTGGTGTTGGAACAGAATGTGGCAGCCTACTTACTGGCAGGTATGAGTCACCAAGGACATATAATACTGGTGCTGTGGGTCCTGCAATTCCAGATGCAATACAAAATGCTGGTTTTGGCATATATGACTTGGCACCAATTATTTACAGGATTGCTTCCTTAACAGAACTGATCTATATACAGTATTATACTTGTTTCTGATAAAGCTGTTGGTTGTTCCCATTTCAGTGAAATGAGGGGATCTGAGGCCACAAGGAATTGCTTTCTGTTATTGCACTGGTTATAAGGTTAGAGCCTCTCCTTAGAAATTAGATTAGTCCTACTTTATTAGCTTTCTAAAGTACGATAAAAATGGAGGTTTTCTGGAGAGCATTTGGGAGTTGATTCATCATCTGTTATTATAATTATTGATTCTTTTTTACTTTTGAGACATTTTTTTACTTCTGAGACTAATTGGTTATTAATAATGGCTCAGTTCATTTTATTTTAACATAGTATCATTAGGATGGATTGTATTTTATGTTTTATCTTGCTGGAATTCTTCAGCATGTGTGTTTATTGATGATACAGTATATACTGGAGATATTTAACTAGATCAGTGGTTCTCAACCTTTTTAATGCCGCGACCCCCCAACCGGTCGTAAGTTGAGGACTACCCAACCAGTCATAATTTGAGGACTACCCAACCGGTTGTAAGTCAAGGACTTTCCCTGCCTGGGAGTGCCACGCATGTGTGGTGCCGCCCCCTGCGCCAGCCAAGGCGTATAGCTGGCAAGCGGCAGAGATGGCACAGGCCGACCATCGGCTGGGCCACCAGCTGGCCCAGCCCAAGGGAGGTAAGGCACCCGCCGGGCCCCACACGCACCAGCAACCCTCCCTGCATCCGCCGACCTCCCACCTCCCACCCCTGGCCCTCTTTTACTTACATTTTTAGTAGTTGCTCAGCAGGGAGGGGTGGAAACTTCCAGACAGCTCGCCTTCGCTGCAGACACCTTGCAGCACCGTTTGCAGAATGGGACTTTTGGCAGGCTCAGCAGGGCAGAGACAGCCTGGACAATTCCTATTGGCTTTTGAAAGCCAATAGAATTAGACTATTCAAGAGAGTCTATTCTATTGGCTTTCAAAAGCCAATAGAATAAAAGGGAGTAGCACAGCTAAGGAAAAGGGGGGGGGAAATGGCGGACTGCGTTGTTTGGTGACCCCGTGAAATGGTCATTCGACCCCAAATGGGGTCCCGACCCACAGGTTGAGAACCACTGAACTAGATAGAGAAGACAAATCCTAACATCAAGCCTATACAGTATTAAAGTAAAAATATAAATGTAGGTAAAATCCAGATTTTATACGATTATTGAATTTTTTCTTTTTAATTCAGGATAGCAGTAAAGTATATACCACACATATTTCTTACTTAGAAATTTACAATGAGTGTGGTTATGATCTGCTCGATCCACGGCATGAAGCCTCCAAACTTGAAGACTTACCGTGAGTAATACAATCTTTGTAAAAATTAGAACATCTCTTTTCCTTTTCTCCTAGTTCCAGTTCTCTTTAGGTGCCCTGCATATTTCTCTGTGTATATTTGCCAGTGTGCATATCAACAGAAATTAAAATTTAAAATTTCTATCAAAGTTTCTGTGACATTACAGTAGCAAATAGTACTGCTTATTTTATGTCTATTTTTTCTTTCAAATGTTATTGTATACTATGAATCAAATAAATAGCATTACAATAAATAATTCAAGACTACAGTGTATTTTTCTAGATTTTTCATGGACAAATAATAAAAAAATAATCACAACTATATATTGGGGTAATGCTTCAACAGTTTTGTAACCATTTGCAGAGAGAGTGAATTTTGGCCTACAAAGACTGCTAGTGAAATCTAGGTTACTACTAGACTTTTTTATATTTGTATGTATTAATATATATTAATGAATGAATATGAACATTGTAATAGTAAATATAACCCTTTTCACTGTCACATACTCTATATTGGATGGAAATATTATTTAAAAGGTCACTTTGTCAAGATAGAAACAGAAAAATTAACTGGAAACATTAGTACTAGCCAATATTTTATCCCTCACATTGCAGTTGTATACACAGCTTTATTCTAGTAATTTCTGATTTCTTTCTATAAGTAAAAATGTATCCATGTTTTAATGCTAATTTGGATCTTGATGTGGAAAAGTACTGCTAATTTATTCATAATGATAGAGAAGGCATAAACAAAGAATGTTTTCCATTTGGCTAAATGGATGAAATTTGTAGATTCCTTTTAAAGCTAAGTGGAATTTGTATAAAACAATAGTAGCCAAGTTGAGCTGTATAAATTTCTTCAGTTGTATCAGCCAAGTTGTAGAACTTGTAAGAAATGGAACATCTGAGGACTTCTTTTAGAAAAAATTGTGACCTTTACTGTTCCAGGTCCAAAAAGGTACCACAATTCCCACAATTATCTATTTTAATACTGAAATCAATATACTTTTTATGTTTCAGTAATGTGACCTATATTTCCTACACATATGTAGCAGTATCTGACTATGCACAAAGCATAGAAAAGAAATAAAAAAATATGTAATTATTTTGAAAACTTACTCCCCAGTTGGCTCACTGGCTGTAGTCTTTTGGCTGAAAGACTACCAAGAAATCACAAACCTGAAGACTAAATTGGGAATTAAAAACAAAACAAAGAAACAAAAACAGAAATCCATTCTAGAAGAAGGCAATAACAAGCCCTTCAGTATGGCTGCTAAAAAAACTTACATTACCATGTATATGCAAGCATCAGATTTGATTCAGGGATTATCTTTTTATTTTGTATGTGTCCTTTATTTTCCAATATAGCCCTACGATTTTTATCCAGCCACTCTGGCATTTAGTATCTTTTTCTTTCACTGGATTTTCTGTGATAATAGCAGTAGCACTTAGACTTATATACTGCTTCCTAGTGCTTTACAGGCCTCTCTAAGAGGTTTATAGAGTCAGCATATTGCCCCACAACACCCTGGGTCCTCATTTAGCAACCTCGGAAGGATGGAAGGCTGCGTTAACCTTGAGCCAGTCAGAATCGAACTGTGGCAGTTGGCAGAATTAGCCTGTAATACTGCATTCTAACTACTGCGCCACCGTGGTTCTTATACCCATTATACCAATTTATATTTGCTTTTTAAAAAATTATCTCTCATATTGAGTTCCTTTTTCCATTAAATTCTTCTGCCAGGCAACCCAGTATCTAAGCAAGCCGATAGTAAGCTCATTTTGCTAAACTGTTTAGCAAAGTAGAATTTTCTTTAAATTGGTTTTCCTGTTTACTGTAACAACAAATTAAGATTTCTCTTCCTGATCATCTGGAATAGGGCAGGGTAGTATAAGGAGACTGTTAATGTTACAGTTCTATCTCTTTAATATTAAACAACTCAGTTTTCTCCTTCAATAGAATAAGTAATTCTAAAATATATATTTCATTTACTGGGAAATCTTGCTGTTAGTAGCTAGAGTTACATAAACCTTAAAGCATTTGAGATATATGTATGTATATGATCAAGAAAGTAGTACATTTAATTACTAGCAAAATTTTTGAATAAATATTCCTGTGTAATTTATCATTAAAAATTAAAATCCATACAAGTTTTTCTTTTTTTAATTTTTTCATGTAGAAAGGTTACAATAATGGAGGATCCTGATCAGAACATTCACCTGAAACATCTCTCTTTGCAGCAAGCAACCAATGAAGAAGAAGCCCTGAATCTGCTTTTCTTAGGTGACACAAACAGGATGATTGCAGAAGTGAGCATGTTATGAACATTTCTTATTCTGTCATCATCAAAAAGCTTTATAATAATAATAATAAACTTGGAAGGGACCTTGGAGGTCTTCAAGTCCAATCCCCTGCTCAGGCAGGTAACCCTATACCATTTTGGACAAATGGCTGTCCAGTTTCTTCTTAAAAACTTCCAGTGTTGGAGCATTCACCGCTTCTGGAGGCAGGTTGTTCCACTGGTTAATTGTTCTAACTGTCAGGAAGTTTCTCCTTATTTCTAGGTTGCTTCTTTCTTTGATTTATAGTAAAATATCTGTTTGTTTATTTATTTAAAATATGTATATAATCACCTATCTTATATAGAATTCTGAGTGCTACTTTCTAGCCATCTATTCAGAAATTTCAGTCAAATTTATTATATCTTCATAAGCTAAATTTTGTTCTTAAAGTATCATTGTTTTTCTTTTACTTCTAAATATATTTAAATATTTAATTGAATTTGTGAATCCAGTGTAAATCATATTATACACATATTATACACTTTATATTAGAAGAATTTCTATGTGACAAGAAAGGTACTTTGGCAGAGAAATCATGTCTTCCCGAATTAAGTTTTTGTGGGAGACATGTCAGCTAGAGTTCCCCAAGACAGGAATCTGGAGAATGTCAATATATATCTCTCCCCTCTTGGCCCTTGGAAAGCATAATGTAGGACTTCCATTAAGTGATGGAAAAGGCACTGAAATTAAGCCCAAGACCTGTAACTTTCAGAAATTTCTACTGGAAATCTGTTGTTGGAAATGGCTTTAATTGTGTCATTTCATAATGATTCATTTTTATTTGTGGTGTGCTGAATTTCTGGTAGCTTCATTCAAATTGAAGCTAGCCAAAGAGAGCTGGACAGTTGTTTCCCTTGGCTTTTCCCCCCCATGGCAGCCCTGAATGTAACATCTCTTCTGGTATTTAAAGAATATTATACTGTTAAATCCATCATCATGTTTCTTGAAACTAGATATTTCCATTTTTCTCAGTCTCTCCTCATAAGACTTAATAGTCAGTTCCCTACTCATCTTTACCGCTTTCCTCTGAATTTGTATGTGTTGCAACACAAGGCATAACAAACATATGCTTAGGTCTTAATCTCAGTTGATCAAATGTGAAAATCAAAGTAGATGTGGATTTATCTGCACATTAAACTGCTTCATTTTTAATATGACATGAAACAATAGTATATAGTGAAAGAATAGTTTTTTTTATTATTATTTTTTATTTTATTTTTTTAACCAACAAAACAAAACAAAACAAAGCAAAACATAATACACATACATACACAGTATATACTCCTCCAGCAATTATATAAAGGTAATCTTCTATTATTTACATTTTCCCCCTTATTCTTCTTTAGAATATTTGTCCTTATTGCCCCATTGTTTCTTATTTACATTTTTCTTCCTTCATATTCTACTTCTTACTAAGAATAATTCATATTATTATTATTATACATTATTATACACATATTTTCACTTTTGACCTTTCCATATTTATTCTCCTCTATTATTTCTAGTCTCCAACCAGTCATACCACTTGTTCCTTTTCTTTTATCTCTTTTGTTAATTTGTCCATCTCAGCACAGTCCAGGATTTTCCTCATCACTTCTTCCTCTGATGGTATATTCTCATTTTTCCAGCACTGTGCATATGCTATTCTTGCCGCCGTTATTATATGTAAAATTAAGTACCATATTTCTTTACTATATTTTCTGTTTAAAATACCCAACAAAAAGATCTCTGGTTTCCAGTCTACGGGTTGGTCTATTATTTCTTCGATCCATTTTGAAAGAAAAGTTTTATGAAGCTAAGTAATGAGGAAGAAAATAATAAGTTTATGTGTCTTTCCTCTGGCATGAATCTGTCTAAGAAAAATCTTTGTTGCAGGTTTTCTAGTAACAATGGGAATACTTAAAGGATCTGAAATCTTACTATTCAGTAAGGAGAATAACTCTTTCATTATTAAATTGTAAGACTTTAGAATGGCAAAGAAATATTTCGTTTATTCATAAGAGCAGCCCTTTACAAATCCCTTTGCAATATGGCAGTTCTGAGGACTAACTCTTCTTTCTTATAAGGAATTGTTATTCCTAGAAAGGAATTCTATTTTCATTTCTTTGATCATGCCTTTCTGTATTTGGCTTTACTAATTAAATTTCAGGCTGATGTACAAATTCAGAAATAGCAAATTTAGGATCATTTAAGATTTTTTTAGGTGTAACCAGAAACACCACACAGGATATATATTGTATAAAAATAGAGAAATTCTGCCTCACAAGAGGAAATCGTGGTGGAAGTCAAATATAATTTTGTACATGGTACATGATGTAATGTAACATTTGTGAATCTTTTTTTTTCTGAAAGCTTAAAGGAAAGCAGACTGTACATACCATTCTGATAGATTTAACAATCAAGAATATGACCTTGTTTTTATTTATTTTTATTTTATTTATATCCCACCTTTATTATGATTCAAAACATACTTTATAGTCATGTTTTCTTGCTATCAGTTCACATCACAACTCAGTGATTTGTTGAGACTGGGAAACTTCTATCACATTGAATGTAACCCAATTTCACATTCTTTTATGTTCAGCCAATAAAAATGAAATGGATGTAAATCAAAGTGTGTAGTTTTTGATCTCTTTACCATACATTCAAAATAGTGTTAAGTCTATCAACATGAAAGACTGTATTTTATTATCTTTTAACAATAACAAAACTAACAACAAAATAAAATATTGACTCAAAATATGGAGACAAATAACTCAGAAATTTTATTTTTAGGAAATTAAATCAAAGCCACCCTTCAGTTAATTTTTTTTCCTTTTAATGCAAACTTAGCCTGTTTTAATAAGAGGAAATGTTTCAATAAAACATTTTATTGCAGTGCTTCTCTATTCCTTCAGTTTGGGAATTTATATATCTATGTTGTATTTGTTTAGCTATTTATGTTTGGAAAATGCCTAGAGCAAATATTCTTGGCAGATTTAATGAATGTAAACATTTTAAATATTTAAAGATGAAAGCAAAACTTTTTTACCTACTTTTTCATCTGTGAGTGTACTATCTATGTATTCTGTACATTTTAGCATATAGAGTATTTTACCACCAAAACTAGCAATTTTTTCATAAATATGCTGATTTTAGATATGATGCAAAGGGCATCAGGTTGCTGATGATACCATATTATTTCGAGCAAAAGTTTCTCCCAGTTGGGAGGTTTAAATTGAAAGAGTGAATGCATTTCTCTGTCATCAAATGTTAAGTGATATACAAGGCTCAAAAAAAAAGAAAAAAGAAAGAAAATGAATACTCAGTTAACTAGTACTGAGTTTGTATGTAACTATTGAGAAGATAAATTTTGTATAAGGACTCAGTGAAAAGGAATTGAAGATGAATCTCTTGGTGTCATAATATTACACAAATCTGTTACATATAACTGGTATACTGGTAACTATACAGTTCTGGTCCTATTCAGGTAGTCCTTAACTTACAACCGGTCTTTAAATGACCATTCAAAGTTATAATCACCCCCAAAGCTACTTATGAACTGGTTTTTAACTTCTAATATCCCCTCACTCCATGGTCATGTGATTGCATTTTGAGCACTTGGACTGCATTTATAGGCATTTGTGCATTATGGGCAGTCATGTTGCATGATTTACAATGTTTTTGTTTTGATTAAGGAACTCTCTTGAACTTTTATAGGGATATGTAGTAGGACAGATGAATCAACCATTTTTTTTCCTTCCTCCAATACAGCCCATTATAAATGGAATTATTATGGCATCTTGGGGTTGGACCAAACAAGTTTCAAAATATTATTGTGATCTGTTTTAACTTAAACCACTTTACTTTTCTAAATAATCATTAGCATTTAGACTGAGAATTAAAAAATAAGGCTTAGGAAATCCTTTCTCTCACAGACTCCAATGAATGAAGCCTCCACACGTTCACATTGCATTTTCACCATTCATATCTCAAGCAAAGAACCAGGATCAGCAACCATTCGGCGTTCCAAACTACACTTAGTGGACCTGGCTGGTTCAGAGCGTGTTGGAAAGACTGGAGTTGGAGGCCAGCAACTGACAGAGGCCAAATACATCAATCTGTCTCTACATTATTTGGAACAGGTAAAGTTGATCCAGTTTCCATTTCTTGTATTGTTTTATAATATTCATGTTCTCTTGCACTTGGCATTTGAACCATTGAATTTTGATTTAAACATGGAACACGATGTAGCTACTCTGTGGCAAAATGTCTGTACTGTACTTTAATATATTGTACCATTTGATAGATCTTCTTATTTAGAGATCTGTTTAATAGCACATAATGAACTTTAATAATGGTAATTTTATATTCAGGTAGTTCTCGCTTAACTACCATTGTTCAGTGACCCTTCAAAGTTACACATGTGATTTGGGCAAAATGCAATTGGCAGAGATGACAATTGGGCAGCCAAAAGGGCAGAGGTGGGGAGGGGGGAATAGACAGGAAGGGAGAATGCAGTATGAGACACATATGCTTTGTGGCAAAATAAATGATAATCCACCGTCAGTGAAGATATTTTCCAAATCAGATGGTCATAACTTCCAAGGTGTTGGCTCTGGGAAGGAAAGGGTTGATCCCAGGCACAAAAAATTGAATTTCATCAATCTAGCAAGATAATTGTATGACTAATCATTCCGCCTGGGGTATTCAGTGACTAAAAAATATAACAAAGTTATAGTGTCTTATCCTGATCTTCAAATATGGATGAAGTCTGGAAGATGCATAATTGTGGAAGTAGATGTGCTGCAGTACTTTCATCACTATTATGCTCATCAGTCTTTTCAGTTCCATTGTCAAACAGAGCATTATGCTTCCTGAAAACATTCAGCAACTCAAAGTAATATTTTTTGGTCTACTTTTGTTATAAAACAATGAAGAGGTTGTGCCTAATCATAATCACCAGCACTAGAAGGGTGTGTGTGTGTATGTGTGTGTGTGTGTGTGTGTGTGTGTGCAGTTTCTGTATTGTTCTTCTTGCACTATGTTTAGTGCAATTGTATAAGACTTACTTGTCTTAAGTAATCAAAAGCAAGATATCAGAGCTTAATAAGCTTTTCTACTTATTACTTATATTGCAGGTAATCATTGCTCTGTCAGAAAAAAACAGATCTCACATCCCCTACAGAAACTCCATGATGACTTCAGTGCTAAGAGACAGTCTGGGAGGGAATTGCATGACAACAATGATTGCAACACTCTCAATAGAAAAAAGGAACATAGATGTACGTTTTCCCATTTTCCATTCTCAGTTTGGTTTTATATTAATATAACAATTTTTATGCTCAAAATTCATTGCATAACTGATGCAGTATGATTAAACTCTGACAGAGATGTAGCATTCTTAGAATAGTTTTTTTTCTCCATTTTTGAGGATTTGACTATTAGGAGTGCAGAACTAGACATTAAAAAAGTAGAAAAGGAAAAAAAATGAAAGACCTCTAATAAAAAAAAATTATAAATAAATCTTGAATTTATTCACCCTTTCAATTTTCTCTCCTCTACCCTCCTGTGACTCCCACCTTTATTGTTACCTGAAGTACCTGAAGGTTAATAGGGAGCTCTGAATAATGCAATATTTTGCCATATGGTTGTACTGAACGTTCAAGGCATTTTGTATCCTTCACTTGTCAGAGGCCTAGAGATGGAAGAAAATTTTAAATGGAAGACAAGTTGATCTTTTTTCTGAAGATTGCTTCAGATTTTGTGATGAGATTTGGATAAAAAAATTCTTTTTCATTATATTTAATATCAGATCAGGTCATAATAAGTGGTAAAAGTCATTTCGTGGATGATTACAATACAGCTCTTTTTATTATATTCAGTACATACTAACAGTCAGTCTGAATGTATCTTAATTCACATAATAAATAATAATCTTATGGCATTGTTGTTTTTTAAAAATTAACCATGATAGAAATGTAACTAAATTCCTTAGCAACATTGACGCAGAATAAAATATATTTTAAAGCTAGTTAATAACTTGTTTATACAAATAATAGGTAATGTTGGTATAAACCATATGCTAGTGGATCATTAGCAAATTAAAAAGAAAATATAACTGAAGTTAAAAAAAGAGTTAATTAGTTTTGAAACTAGAAATAGATACATAAAATTAATGGAATTTAAGATTTTATGAGATCTTTAAAAAAATGAAAATACATCATTAAGGGTCAATGTCTTACATTGCACTTTATATCACTGCTGATTTATTATAAAATAATTTAACATCAGTCATGCACATAATTATAATTTTAAAATAATGTTTACAGTAACTAAAATATAATACCAAATATTGATTTATTGCTGAATACTGAACCTCATCTACAAGTCCTTTGCTTTTACATCTTTACTCTTTAGTCATTGAAATCTATAGTATGATCAATTTTGTGTTCTCCATTAGCGGCAGCCTGTTAATTAGTGATCACAAAAAATAAATATCATAATAATTTAATTTTATGGAGAAATATGGGAGTAGATATGGGGCTGCTAGTTTTGCTTGCAAATGATACATGCCATATTATCTAATTCAGTCCTCAGATATAATAGACTGAAAGTATTTTTATCAATATATAATTTGTTTGGCATTCATTTTTGTTAAAGTATGTTAAGACCATTTTAAAGATTGTTGCTTTGATTCTTACATTGTAGAAAACCTATTTGTTAAGATTTTTTGTTTCCTTTTAGGAATCTATATCTACCTGTAGATTTGCTCAGCGAGTTGCTGTTATTAAAAATGAAGCTGTTCTAAATGAAGAAATTGATCCTGGATTGGTAAGGCTGCTCACTGACTCTTTTTGATAACAGTATATACCATGACAGTGATTTCCATGTAATAATTATTCCTAATATTGTTATTCATTTTGTTTCTTGAATATGGTAGTGGAGGCCTATTTGTCACAAGTGATTAAAAATATTGCGTACTTGATGCAACTTACATAGTGTTGTATTATTATTAACAATAACTAAATTGCACTATTATTAACAATGACTAAATATTTTCTTAAACATACAGAGTGATCTAATGCATCATATTTTCAATCACTAATATTAAGCAATCAGTTTGATTTTACCTTTTGAAGTTCTGTAGAATAGTTGTATGTAGTGATATATGTAGTGTAGCTATATTTAACTTGAAAGTAAGCTCTTGTATATTCAGTAGAACTTTTTTCCAGGTACATATTGAGAATATTGCCCTCCGCTAGAGAATAAATATGGTGAAAACTTATTGCCTAATCCAGAACTATGTAGCTATGCCATGAATACAAATTCAAAATGCTAAACCAGTCAAGAATTGAATCTCAGTTGTCCAGTGTTTACTAGTGTTTACCAGTTTCTCTTCCTCCAAATCACAATTCATTTATTTTTCCAAAGCATGCCGTTATTTAAGTTCACAGAACTATTTCATTTTTGGGGGGGGGGAAATATAAAAATTAACAATTTGGTTTATATAGAAAAGAGCATCACGACTTCTAAATCATACGTTTATTGCTAATCGGTTGATCCACTTTATATTTCCAGATGATTATGCGTCTGAAGAAGGAAATCCAGGAATTAAAAAATGAATTGGCCATGGTGACTGGAGAACAAAGACTTGAAGAACTCTCAAAAGAAGAGCTGCTAGAGTATTATTTGGCTTTCTTTATGTCATCTAATTCTGAAATATAATTTTTTCTTTTTTTTCAGTTTCAAGTTTTTTATTAATTTTACAATATTACATTTACATATTTGAAAAGTACCGTGGCGGCTGAGCACAGTAATTCTGTTACATTTGAATATCATCAGTACAAATCTCAAATTATTACAACAAACTAATTCCCTCTCTTTCCTCCATGATATCTACTGTCATGTTCAAACCAATACAGTTCTTATTCTATTAATCAAACAAAAAGTACCTTTCTAATATTCATCAATAATCTTTAGTCTATACATATCTTAATTAATTTGACATTCCACCTTTTAGACAATAACCTAGTAAGTTTTTCTTAACTTTAATTTGCCATTGATATTTAAGTTTAACGTTTAATCTTTATCATTTCCAGGTTTTAAATGATCCCAATTTCTAAGTCTCCTACCTCACATTTGGAGCTAATATTTTTTTTCCTTTTCTTCCTTTCACTTCCTTCCTTCCTTTCCAGAAAGAGAAAAAAAAATTGAAAATAAACCATCAACATTTATACCACAAACCCATATACAAATTTAATTATTAGTACTTATACTTTTAAGTTTTACTTAACCTTTGTCTCAACTCATAACAATATCTTAAATTCAAATCTTAATTATTTGTAGACGTTCAGATTACATTTAATATTTAATTTTTCCAAATTTTAATTAAACACAATTCCTTTATCCCAATTGCTCATACATTCTAATATTTAAAATACACACCTTATATATAACTTCTACCCTCTATCTAACCCATCTAATGACAGTATAATATTCTTATTTCAACATATTTCTAGATTTTATATGACCAAAATTTTCTTTATCTCAAATCGTTACAATGTCTTGTGTTCAGAATACATATTCTATCTATTTAGATATATTCTATTTTAGATCTCATATATAGATCAGAACCCCAATCTTTTTCAATCTTATTCTAGCTTTTTTTCCTCTGCCAGGTCATTTTTCGTATTTTTGCCTTTAAATCATGAAAAAAATATCCTTGTATTGTTGTGGCTATTGTTTGATGTTGATAAGAATGTCCAGTTGATGTTTTCTTAAGAGGACTTAATTTAGCCAGTCGTCTCTTTATTTTTCCAGTTCAATGCAGTTGTCCCAAAGTATTTATCTTCTCTTTCATCTGTTTTTCTTGTTTATCTTCAAATTCCTTCTGATTTATAAGAAATGCCCTTTCCTTGTTCTCTATTATCAATTTCTTTTTTGTGTTTTGTTGAGTATCTAAGTCTTCTGTCATAAAATTTGGTTGTTTCACTTTCTCTATAGAATTCTGTATAGATAATTCTTTGATTGAAGTTATAGTTTGAGTTTGTATATCCAGAGCTTGCATACGTAGAGTTTGGATCATCACTTTTAACATACAAAGAATTTGTTCCTGTACTTCCTCTGTAGAAGAAATCCCTTCCTGTTCTCCTTCCATTATAATATATTAAACTCAAGAGAAAGAAACTGTCAGAAAGTCCACCAAATAGGGAGCTGAGATGAATTTTGCAGATGGTGTTTCATTTTTTATCTTGTCTATTTTCAAAGCTATCAACAAGTCTCTTAGAGAATAGCAGGTTACGTCTTAGAATTAGTTGGATCTTTTTATGTTTTTTTTTCACTCTATTTTAAGGGGGGAAAACCCCCAATCTTCAATAGTAATTAGAATAAAAATCAAGGAAGAAATATATATAAAGAGAGCAGAAAGTTGCAAATCTTATAATCCACCAATTTTAGGAAATAGGATTCCAATTAACATCTCAGTATTTTTCCAACGTTTTAAACTCCCAAGTAGTTGATAGCTGCTGTTTCTGGAGGGACGGATAGAATCCCCCTTCCCTCACCACAGGGGGGAAAGTACTTTAGCAGCTTATGCAGGTAATTATGTAGTTAAGATGTAAGAGAGGCAAACCTCACCCAGTCCTGTCCACGCTGCTTTGAAGTTGCCAAATGGTAGTGTGACTTCAGCTGTTTGCAGCCTAGGGAGGAGCCATATTTCTGTGGCCAGTCCTTTCATTCGCCAGTTTGGAGGGATCGCCTGGTCTGACGGAAGAGTTGCTGCTCTTCTGGGATCCAGCGAAAGCCCCTCCTTGCTGGTCGCCTCTTCGGGGTGACTTTCGGCCCTTTTTAGGGCCCCCCAGTGATGCGAAACTGAACGGGGGAGAGAGAGCAAGTCTCCCAACCGTCCATGCAGCTTTGTGATGAACTGGAAGTCTCTGAAATATATATTTTTTTCATTTGCATAATAAGCACGGACATACTAGTAGAATTTAGTTTCAACTAATACTTCAAATTAAGAGATATTTTATTATTATATTTAATATGATTATATTTCAAAAGAAGTAGTTGAAGGTTTAGTACATATAACTATGCTGAAATAAAACTGAACAACTTAATCTTTATAAATACCATAGCATAGTTATGAAAGTAACAGGTTCTTGGAATGTACAAATTAATTCAGAAATACCTAAAGATAGCAATTTTACTACCTTTCACAAGTTGAAAGATTTCACAAGTTGTTTTTTATTATGTAAGTTAGATTTTAGTCTTTCATATATGACTAATTCAGTTAGATCAAAAGTGATAAGGGATATTCAGAAAGACATTTATTTTTGAGTTCAGGGCTTCCAAAAGAAAACATTTTGAATAGAATATTTTACTTTTCTTGCTACATTTGATCGTAGGTGCTTAAAACAAAGATTTTTTTTTACCAAGCAACCTGAAATATTTCCTGTTGGTTCATCAGATACTGAAAAACAATATTATAAAATAGCTTTTTTGCAGGCCACTATTTTTATCTCTTTGACATTTGCCTCATGTGTTTTGAAGACTATAGCCGATGGGAGTGGACATACAGTATATATAGTGAACCTTATACTGTATATGATATGATGTCTCAGGGTTCTGTAATAAAAAAGGAGGAGCAGCTATGAATGATTAATAGTTTACACTTAAGTCAAATTGAGAGCTTCCAAAATTCTTTCACAAATTAGTTAAGTCTAACTTATTGACTGTTTTAAATATAATATTCCTAGTCAGTTATTGAAGACCAAAATCCATCACATTAACCATATACAAACACTACAGCCAAACAGTTATTCAAGCCAATTCTTAGGTACAAATCTAAAATCTACTAAATTACTTACAAGTAGAAGCAGACTAGAAGATTGGTCTTAGTATAGATCATGGGTGTCAAACTGCCAGCCCACGGGCCGGATGCATCATCCGGAAGCTACACCTACTCTATTGCTGGCAATGGCAAAACTGTCCCGATATGCTGCGCGATATTACATGACGTCGCGAGTTTGACATGTATAGATAAAGATCAGTATATCCAACAAAATAATTCAGTCACAGGTTCTGCAAAATGGGCTGAGATGAACATTATTTCCATCAAATATGCTAGTCTCTCATTCTGATACTTTATAAAGTTTTCAGAAAAAGACCTATTTACAGATCAATTATGCTCATTATGTTACTGCCTCCTGAGGAGATCATCTCTTCCAGGAAGGCCTACTTGACAGTCTGACAGCCTTCTACAGTGCACATGTTCCTCTCTTGGCCCTACATTAATTTTAAAAATCATCAATATATGCAAGACTATTAAACAGGATTACTTTCAAGTGCTTAAAGATTCCATTCTGTGGACCATTAATTATAAATAAGACTAACTGAACAAAATATAACTTTATTTTAGTTAAACATATACTTGGTATATCATTGGATGGAATTTATTGGATGGAACATTGCTATTTTTAAAAATGTTCCATTTGATTTAAAAAAAACAACACCCCCTTAATGTGCTTTTGGGACATAAGCAGTGGTGGGATTCAGCCGGTTTGCATCACTTCAGCAGAACCGGTAATTAATTTTTGGTTGCCCAGACCCAGAATGGACTTCCAGAAGCGGCATCCACACAGAGAACCAGTTGTTCACATATTTGAATCCCACCACTGCACATAAGCAGTAAATTTTCTCTCTACAGTATGTGTTGGAACCAGAGTTTGTTTCCTACAGATAGAAAGGTTCTTTCCATCCATAGGTGACTTCTGATCCAAAGAAAAAATCCCAGTGATACAATGAAAAGTGCAGCTATTTTTGTTAACTAATGTCCCCACTCTGGTTCCCACTGGCATCCTAAAAGTTTGTTCCAAAGATCTAGAATCCTCCAGAACTGAAACAGAAGGTATACAATTTTTTTATTAAAAGTTTTATAAATTTGTTACAATATAAACCCCCCACCCCTTCCCCCCTCCCCCCACTTCCCAGAGCTGATTACAGGGTAAAACAAAAGAATAAACAAATATAATCCAACTAATATAAACCAACTATACTATTAATCAAAACCATAAGACACTTTAACTCCTTATCAATACAAATATTACCAAATTAAGTCAAAAATAATAATATAGTTAAAGCTATTAATAATTATCTAAAATCTACTCAAAAGCAAGATAATACTTTTCAATTTCATATTTCTTCTGAATATAATCAATCCACCTTCTCCAAACCATAATATATCTTTCTTGTGAATGGTCCTTCAAATAGGCGGAGATCTTCACCTGAAGGTATACATTGTATTTTATAAGGTATAAGGTATACATTTTAAAACACTGCTTTTCCAGCTTCCCAATTTGCTGAAATTCCACTTGCAGAAAGTTCATAGCTGTGATAAATCAGCAGAAATCTGGAGTTTAATATTTATATTTAATTTGTTTTTCTGAAGAGTGATATATTTTCTTCAAGGTAGTTCTTTATTTTGTTTGTTTTATCATGTATATTTAGATTAGATGAGCAAGTTAAAGAATTTTTGGAAGATACTGATCCTGAAAGCATTTTGGAAATTGGAGCTGACATGCGGAAGATCAAATACTGTTTCAGCCATTTAAAGGTATGTTGCACTGTATTTTTAACACATTAACAAATGTAACGTATTTTGATTTATTAGGCAATTTTAAAAGAGAAGAGGAAGTATGTTTCTAATTAGAACCTAATTAATATATAAACTAAATTATGTTTTTCTTGTAGCAATAATGAAATTTACATATTGTAAATGAGAAAATCATGATTTTCCATGTGATGTTTGAGTTATTAATATAAGGATTTTTTTTTCTTCACATGCTCTTCCTTTTTGCATTGACCTTGTTAATAGTTTTAAAAGATTTCCTGTTATGTGTAAAACAGTGAAATGTGATTTGCTTATTTAATAACTAGTACCTGAAAAAAGCTGGAAACTGTAATTTAAAGAATGTGTAAAGTATTTATCCCTAAATTGCTGGGTATTCCTTCTTAAATATACCATTATTTATTTATTTAAACAGGAACTTTTATCTAAAGCAACTCCATAGTTAGCTTAGTCATACTTTCAGTGGTGGGATTCAGCCGGTTTTCACCACTTCGGCAGAACGGGTAGCTAATTTTTTGTTGGCCAGGACCAGAATGGACTTTCAGAAACAGCATCCACACAAAGAACCGGTTGTTCACATATTTGAATCCCATCACTACATACTTTATATTCTTGAATATAATTTTATAACTGTTCAATTATTTGTAAAGAAGTCCCCCCCCATACCAAATAGAAGAAGGCAGTTGGAGGGGAATTTCATAGGGAGTTTAATTTATTCTAATTTATATGCCACACTAAACAGAATTTAAAGGATATATTAACAAAAACAGTAATTTATAACTATTCTCCAATTTGTGGTTGTAGCCTTTTTCAAGGTTTTTGTGTGCTGTTATTTGATTATGAGCCAACAAATCAGTATTGCCTTTTAGCATCTACACAGTATACAAGCATACAGCATGTTTTGCAATAAACTTTTTAATACAGATATATGTTTTAAAAACGAAGTAATTAATTGAAAATTAATCTGCATATTTGCAAATTTAAAAATACTGTTAACATAGTTATTGTTAAAAAATCAGTATATTTTATTTACAGGAAAACAAGTAGAGAAAAATTTAAGTTTAAGAAAGAGGAATTGAATCTTAGAGGAAAGAGAGTTGGAATTTTAGGAAGAATGACTGCATAGCTAACCAAAGGAGATGGTGCATGAAAATTATTCTGATTTGTTTAAAAGAGAAGAGGCTATTAAAACTAGATGATTCATAAGGGAGATCCTTATAGTGGCTTGCCATGGTAGCACTACAAGTTTGTGAAATCTCATCCTTACAGAAAATGAAAGAATGAATTACTAATTAAAATAACTGTATTGTTTTTGATTCAACAGAGACTGGTAAACGATGCAAAGCTTCCTGGCAATCAATTACTTGGACCAGATGCTCAGGAAGATAAAAGTGCTAATAGTGTAATTGGCAATGAAGAGTTAAAGAAACTGAAGAATCTTTTGCAGCAACGAGATAATGAAATCAGTATCCTTTTTCAAATCTTACTGGATAAAAATCTAGTTGCTATTCCTGTGACAGACCTGTTTCTGTAACAAACATGGCAAGATTTCATTCTGTTCTTTGCCTCATGACTTCAGGTCTCTTCCAAAATGTTAAACAATCCTCAAAAGCAGATGTGTGTGTGTGTGGGGGGGAAGGAACTAGAGAAGAAGTATACTTTATTGCAAAACCCTTTAAAATTCAATGTATAATATTTTTGATTTAATAATAACATGAAAAGGTTTTAATATTGTTAAGTGAATATAAGTCAAGCTGAATATATCTATTTTCAGTTATCATCTGCTCATTCTGGAACAGCTTTTCTTCTGAGGTCAGGATGACCCATGCCCTGTTAAAACTCAGGAATGCAGTTAGAACCATTTTGGAGAGGAAAACAGCCAACATTTTACCTTGTGTGTGTGTGTGTGTGTGTGTGTGTGTGTGTGCTGGGTGTTTGTTGGTTTAGACAATACAGGGCATTATGAAGATTAATTGGTTTTATTGATATTTTCACTATTTTGAATTGTAAACTACTCAGAATCAGCCAAGGAGGCAACATAAATAAATACATTCTTACAATTCTGTTTAAAATTTGATTGTAATAACTAATTTGTACTTCTGATCAAACTGTATGTTTTAATTGATATAATCTCAGCATGGTACAAAGTTAAACATGACATTCAAATAATGATGAGCTTCTAGGCCTAATTTTTTTTGCATTGTAACAGAACACCACCCCACCACCACCACCACAACCACAACAACAATAATAATATCTAGGATGCTGGCAGCAACCCGTGTCAACCATCAGCGCCAGTCAATTTGAATGTTCAGTTGACTGAGGTTCACGTCTAATGAATAATAATAATAGTTGGAAGGGACCTTGGAGGTCTTCTAGTCCAACCCTCTGCTCAGGCAGGAAACCCTGTACCATTTCAGACAAATGGCTGTCCAGTCTCTTCTTAAAAACCTCCAGTGTTGGAGCATTCACAGCTTCCAGAGGCAGGTTGTTCCACTGATTAATTGTTCTGACTGTCAGGAAAATCTCCTTAGTTCTAGGTTGCTTTAAAAGAGAGAAGCATAGCAAACTAACCAGTTTCCATCCATTGCTTCTTGTCCTGCCTTCAGGTGCTTTGTAGAATAGCTTGACTCCCTTTTATTGATGTATTAAGTATCATGTATTTCTGAAAATTTAATCTTATTATTTATGTGCAGATGTTTATTGATTTGCAATACACAAGACAATAGTGAACTGAATTTTTTGACACTATTCCAGTTGTAACCTTGGAAGATGGAGAGAAGAGATGATACCTAGGGAATGATCAAGTAAAAGGGGGAGAAGCCCACAGCTGAATGGGCAGAAAAAGAAATTTAGAAACAATCTGTCCTAACTTGTCAAGAAGTAAAAAGACACATCAGATTTTTACTTGTTTTACTTACTTATTTGAACACCAAATAGCAGACAGAAGATATGATGAAGACTCCTTAATTGTACCACACATGGACAGACTTCAGCATAGTTTCAATTGGGAAACTGTGGGCATTCTAGACCAAGCTAGGTCTAAGAATGCTAGAGAATTCCTGGAAGCCTGGCATTCAGACAAATCAACCATCAACAGGCACATAGCATAAGTAGAATTACCTCATAATTTTTTGTTAACATAAAGTTGTTATTATTAAAGCTGTTAATAAGATTGAAAGGAGTAATTCACTCATTAAGATTACAATTAGGTGAAGATAATTCCATGGCAAATGCTCTGAGCTAACCTCTTATTTTATCATTTGTTTTGAGTGCTTTCAACAACTGTAGGTTCCTCCTGTAACTCAGCTGCCTGGGCATTTGAAAATAAAGATACTTTACTCTTACAAGTAGGTGAAAATTGAAGAATTTCAATAATGAGAAATATTAAGAAATGAAAGTTACATGGAACTCTTGAAATCAAGGCAAAATCTGTAAGACAAAAATATCAGCTAGAACTGCTAATATCTGGTCATATTCACAAAATAGAACAAAGATTCACAGTACAATGTTGTTGATACAATAATGAATTTGTGCCTCCACTAAAGGACTATCTCTAATCACCATGGAAACGGAGGAATTCTACCCACAACTCAACTACAAACTTATCCTTGAAAAAATTCTTGAAGCTACTGAGCTAATCAAGTCAAAAGTGAAAGCCGAGGATATTTTCACAATACTACAAAGCAAACCCCAGACTCCAGATGATCAACCTGAAAGCCAAAAAACAACAGAAGAGGAACAACAATATCCACAACCTATTAAGAACTTTGGTAATCCAACACTGACTTTAACTACAGTATCTATAACTCCAAAAGCAACAGGAACCGATCAACAAACATACCACATTGACAATTTAGCTAATCAAACAATAACTACAACACTGGATATGACCTTATACTTTACTCAGACGAAATTGGAAGAAGAACAAAGATTTGAACTATTAGGGCAACAACCTAATTACAACAAAGTGGCCAGTCCCTTTGAAAAATTGATAACTGGATGTTCTCCCTTGGTTCAAACAACGTGTGGGAATGAAGGGAGACACATCAGTGGATTCAGAGGCACTAGTATGGGAGCCTGCCTGGCACAAAAAGAAAGCCAGAGTTAGATTTAAAAATGAGATTTAAAAATTGACTTCATGGGCTAAGTAGCTCTTTGGAGTGATTGGTTTAATATCCAGGATTAAGACTTATAAGGGAAATTAAAATTAATTGTTAGATTATAGTATTGATTGTCAGATGGAAATACATTTGTGATAAGGGAAGATTTTTGTTAGTAAATTAAATAGAATATATTTGTGAACAAAGTAAGAAGATAAATTTTAGATCAACATGTCTATTCTAGTTATGTTAAATATCTTATAATGAAATGAGGGAAAATAAGGTTATCCAAAACTTAAATATTGGTTATAAAAGGCTAAATTGAAACATGGAATTGGAATCAAGCAAAACTTAAAAAGAGGACTTGGATATGTATAAGTAAAATGTTATTGATAAATGTATTGATTGACTGAGCTGTAGTAGAAATGTATTAATACGAACATGATATAATATTTAAGGGAACTAGAGAGGGAATCCTTATTGATGTAACCTGAGATATACCGTATATGCCGGCGTACAAGGCGACCCGGCGTATAATACAACCCCCGTCTTTATCGCCGAGCTGCATTCCTAGAACATCATCTTATACGCTGGAAACTACCAGTATTTCCGGCGTATAAGATGACTCGGTGTATAAGACAACCCCCGTCTTTGGCGCTGATTTTAGTGCTCGCAGAAGTCGCCTTATACGCCGGCATATACGGTACATGAATGCTTTTGTTATTGGACTATTGATTACCCTATCACCACACTGCTTCCTAAGCACCTGGATGTAAAAATTGGAAAAACTAATAAAACTTGTTTTTTAAAAAAATACAATAATGAATTTGCCTGGGAGAAGTATCAGAAGAAAACCGTTTCTCGAAACTTAACCACAACCAGTAATTGTCCAAAATGTTTGATAAGCCTGAAGTATTTGCAACAAAGTGCTTTAATCTGATGAGTGAAACGTTTGAAGAAAAGAGCAATATGGCAAAGTATTAAACATAGAGATTTTATTTATTTATTTATAAAACTTATATACCGCTTTAAGTGCAAGCACTCTCTAAGCGGTGTACACCAGTAAGCAATGTATATATATATATATTTACATTGCCCCCAACAATCTGGGTCCTCATTTTACCCACCTCGGAAGGATGGAAGGCTGAGTCAACCTTGAGCCGGTGAGATTTGAACCGCTGACCTGCTGAACACAGTCAGCTAAAGTGGCCTGCAGTACTGCACTCTAACTGCTGCGCCACTCTGTTAGCTCTGTTATGATTTAGGATGTGACAGGCAGTAGCACAAAATATACTACGCAAGTATGAGGAAGAATATCAACTGAATGTCAACTAAATATCAATATATAGTAGAAAATAGTATCCCATTATCATTAAGGATATTGAAGCTAAAAATGATTGGATGTTTCAGCAAGACAAGAGTCTTAAACATATCTCCAAGTCAACCCGAAATAGTTAAAGGAAAGAAAGATTAAAAAGTTTTGGAATGGCCTTAACAGTCCCAAGAGTTGAATATTATTGAAAATCCTGGGGAGATGTTAAACATAGACTGCATGCAAAGATACCCAGAAGAATTCACAAGGAAAAGTGTGGAAAAAAATCCCAAACCAAATATCCAATTTCATATTTATCTATAAAAGATTGGTTGAGAATCAAATATTTTAAAATTTATTTTAAAATGCCTTTACTTTTTGTTTCAGTTTGTTACCATACTTTGCCCTAGCATTTTATATTTTTAGTTGTTTTCCTTGTTCCATTTACAATGAACTGATAACAGAAGCAAAGATATGGTTTGACATTTTTCAAATATTAGATAGTATTTTATTATAATTTTAGAGGTTTTTGTATTACTTCCTATACAAAAGCAATCCAAAGCTGCACATATCTTAGTTTTCCTCATACTATATACTGTTTATGTTTGGAATGTGGTTAGAGCAGATACACTGGTTTTCTTAGCCAATAACCAACTTTAAGAATAAGTCCAGTGTGATACTATAAGCTAATGACATGAGGACAGAAGAATGGGGAATCAATCAATAAATATAATAAAACAGACCAAATAATTACTCCTGTTCTGTGTACAGTAATTAGCAGTCTTTTTACATAAATATACTTGTGCTGATCATCGCTACAAAGTATTTAAAGCTTTCCTTAATATAAATATTAGACATTTTAGTAAATATGTTAAAGAAAGAAAAAAGGAAAACACAAGATACCCTTCATCTCAGTGCTTCATCCAAGGAAATCTCAGCTACAGAAAGTTCCTTTGATTTGAAAAATATGGAGACTGAGCAGATGGTCCCTGTCATTTTGGAAACAAAATCTAATTCTCACTCAAAGAGCCGAGGTCAGTCATATGATTTATTCTCAAATATTGAATTATTGCATAATCATCTTTGAAGGACTGTATACTATGTGGGATAAGAAGACTGGAAACAGCATCTCTATATAAAGTATTTGTTCATTTGTTTATACTGTGAATATACAAAAAATGTTGCCTAAGCTTCTCAGTGTCATAAATAATTTTCATATTGCGAGAAGAAGCATTCTTTTCTAAAAATATATAACTAAGAAATCTGTCTCTGTGAACTACACTGTCATCACATAGACATTTTAGTACATAACTCTCCAATGAATTTCAGCATCTGGAATCTCTAGAAAGGGAACAAAATTACCATAGCACTTCCACAAATAACTAGTATAGGGATTCGTAGGAAGTAACAAAATGGTTACATAAGTCATAAATCTCTATCTTGAAGGGCATTGCCTCTTGGTGAAATTTCCCGAAAAAAAATGTACGATAATGGAAAACTGGCTGCTGCAAGACATCTCAGACAAATCATAAAATGATTACATTGGGATAGCCAATCACAAGATATTTATGAATATAAGATTGTACCTGTGTCTCATGCCAAATGCTAAACCATTTATTTGTTTCTATAACACATTATAAATTACCAAAGAAACTAGGGATCTTTCACAACGCTTTCTCAAATGTAGACAGAAACAAAAACTACACACAGACAAACAATATGGACCTGGGAGATCTATCAAGGAAAGCAAGAGGGCACCATAGTAAGAAGTTCTAGCCTTTTTTTTTTTTTAAAGAATATCTGTCCAGGATAAATTGATTTTACTATAAACATAAATTATTTAAGGTGATAGAGCCACGGCTGCAAGAAGAAAATACATTTGTTTTTATATTGGTAGTTGCTGAGGCCAAATTTATATAAATATTTTATGGTCCAAAATCAGCAATTAATAGTGTAGCACTTGCAGTGCCATATTTACCATCACACCTCTAAATGATTCTTGATACAACCAGAACTTTTGTATAAATATGCCAGCATGTCAGCATTCTTAGAAACTCTCAGGGTGAGTCTGCCAGAATGTTGCAAGATTAGGTAATCTTACAACATTTGGGGAGGAGCAGTTGGTTAATTTGGAAGAAATGGGTAAATTGTCTGGCGCGCACAATTTCAATAACTTGGTGCCACTCGCTAACATCTGTTGACTCATATGAGGGACAACCCTACTGAATGGTAATATGGAGGCCCAGTCACACTTAGTTTTATTTTTAAGTAAATTTAAAATAATTAAGTTCACAAATTTCAGTTACTTTGGTTGCAAACCTTTATTAATTAAAAGATTTAATTTGTTCTATAAGACACAATTACTTGAAGACTTATTTTTGGTTTATTTTTTTTATAAACAGGACATATTAATGAGTATAGTACAGCAATTTATCGTAGGACTATAGATTTTAGAGTAATATTTTTTAGCATTTTTTTATCCCACCCTTATTATTTTTATAAATAACTCAAGGCAGTGACCTTTCTCCTCCTCCTATTTTTCCCACAACAGCAATCCTGTGATGAGAGTTGGGCTGAGAGAGTGACTGGTGAACAATTTTGTAATTATGTAGTATTTTGCTTAATAAAAGTGTTGCCACTGGACTCTTCTTGAAAGTTAATAATAATAATAAAAAAGTTGGAAGGGACCTTGGAGGTCATCTAATCCAACCCCCTGCTCAGGCAGGAAACACTATACCATTTCAGACAAATGGCTGTCCAGTCTCTTCTTAAACACTTCCAGTATTGGAGCATTCACAGCTTCTGGAAGCAGGTTGTTCCACTGATTAATTGTTCTAACTGCCAGGAAATTTCTCCTTAGTTCTAGGTTGCTTCTCTCTTTGATTAGTTTCCATCCATTGTTTCTTGTCAATGGAACATTGCTATCATGTTAGCCCTTGTCTTTCTCTTCATTAAATTAGACATACCCAATTCCAGCAACCGTTCTTTACATGTTTTAGCCTCCAGTCTCCTAATCATCTTTGTTGCTCTTCTCTGTACTCTTTCTAGAGTCTCAACATCTTTTTTACATCGTGGTGACCAAAACTGGATGCAGTATTCCAAGTGTGGCCTTACCAAGACATTGCAAAGTGGTATTAACACTTCACGTGATCTTGATTCTATCTCTCTGTTAATGCAGCCTAGCACTGTGTTAGCTTTTTTGGCAGCTGCAGCACACTGCTGGTTCATATTTAAGTGATTGCAGCACACTGCTGGTGATATTTAAGTGATTGTTCATTAGGAGTCCAAGATCCCTCTCACAGTTATTACTATTGAGCACCTATACTATACCTGTACATTTGGTTTTTCTTGCCTAAATGTAGAACTTTACTTTTTTCACCATTGAATTTCATTTTGTTAGATAGCTCCCAATGTTCAAGTCTCTCAAGATCCTTCTGTATCTTAAGCCTATTTTCTGGAGTGTTGGCTATTCCTGCCAGCTTGGTGTTGTCTGCAAATTTGATGAGTTCCCCACCTATCCATACTCATCCCTATCCAGTTCATATTTAACTATGGACAACAGTCTGACACAAATCGTTTTAAAGAAAACTTTTTAGTTCAATAAGATTTACCTTTAACGAAGTCCAAAAGTATTCAAAAGAATATATTATTTGACCAACAGACAAATATTTGTTACCGTCAAAGTTCAGAAATTAAAAAACTATAACAAAAAACAGCTAAAGATTGTGAAATAAAAATAGGATAATACAGGCAATTGGAATAGTTTGAATAATAGTATACTAAAACTACAGTTGTGGGAGACCTTCTCTGCATTATTAAAAAGTGTTATGTGACTGTCCTGATTAACCAAAGAGGAAAAAAAATTGAATAGTTCCAAAAACCATTGTTTTAAAACACCCATTATACAAATCCTGTTTGTTTTAATAACCTATTCATGCATTAGTACAATATTGAGAAACTTATTTGTGTTGCACAGATGATTTAGCTTAAATTAAACTCCATATTCTAGCCCTAGTGTGTTGTTTCAATACTTGCTTCTATAGTCCATATGTCATGAAAAGTTGTCTGGCAAAAGTAAATAATTGCTGCTGCTTTGTGGATTGCTCTTGAGAGAAGCTATGTACTGTTATAGCTTTCTTTTCTCCTTTCTTCATTCTCGTCCTCATTCTCCAAAATACAGAAGTTCTTTTTAGAAAATAATATAGGCAAGGTCCCAATGTTTTCCTATTCTACGGCCCTTTCATCACTGAACTTTGGGACCATCCTTACCATCCTTAAACAGGAGGATTACCTACCTGATTCTATCACAATATTGATCAGAAATGCAATCTTTGATTTATATGGTATTTATTAATGTATGTAATAAAAAGGAGAAAAATGCATTCAGTGATACCTCTGAGACAGCAGCTATTTAAACATATAACATTGTACATTGTAGCAGGATTACAGTAGTGTCTGCAAGCAACAAGGAGGTATAAATTTGATTTAATTTGGATTCCTACACTGAGCATGAATTTGGATTTAATGGCTTCTTCCAACTCCTTAATTCTGTGATTATATTGTGATTTGACAATGAATTAGGATAAAGATTATCTCTCCAATAATAAAAATCTGTGATATAGAAGTAAATCTGGATCCACAAATATCAGAATTTGTCAGATTCAGAAGTGGAATGTTATGACTTTCTTTGGGAATATAAATATTTTTTTGAAATATGGAAAAAATGTTGGAGTTGAGGTTTTCTAGACAGAAATATTTTTGGCTTTTAGCAGGTTTATTTAATTAACCAGCTATTGGTTCAAAATTATTTACAGCTGTAAGATCTATCTCAGTATCTTCATGTGAAAAAAGGATTAAAAAGGATAGTATGATCAGTAGTTTCCATACTGTATTCTGTACCTTTTTTATTTTAACCAAAATAGACAAAAGAATTCAGGTTCTTTTGCAGGTATTAGAAAAAAAATTATATTTTATTAGCAAAGTATGCTTTGCTTAAAAATCCTGATATTCAATGAGCTATTTTGTCAATAAATAAATAAGTAAAAATAAACATTTGCGTAAGCAATGTGCTAAAATGTCACATTTTGCTATTCATAATACATTTTCTTATTTCTTCTTTAGGAATTCCCCTGCCCTTCCCCCCCCCCCCGAAAACTACCCAGATGCAGGGAAAGATTTTGTCTAACACTCCAGCAAAATTGGCCAAAGCCAAACACACTATATTATAGCTTAGTATAAGGTTCTTGATTACATAGAAATGTGAGCATAAATACTGAATGTTAGATTGAAATTTTTTTATTGATTTGGTAAAAAATATTATAGAATATACATTCTGACATTACAACTCTAAAAGGGGACACTGGCGTAATATTTAAGCACCCTTAGCATTCTGTTGTATTGGCAGTGATGCCCAGCCTGGTTCTTGACGTTTTCCTTAATACTTGTTTTGGGATACTGATCTTGTTTTGGATACTGATCTTGATATTGTTTTGTTTTGTTTCAATGTGTCTGCTGAAAATTTTGCACAAGTAGCTTGAAACTACCCACTCAATGGCAAAAGATTAATTAAAACACAATTGAAACAGTATAGATTTTTTTCTGTTCTCCATGAACTTATGCTCCATTAATTTATTGAAAAGGAGGTCATGAAAAAATATAAATCAAGATGACATTTCCAGACTCATTTGTGACAATCATTTTTGGGAGCATGAAGGTTTCTAAATTAGATTAAAACTGTCAGTTTAGGGGAGACCTTAGTCTCCTCTAATACCTTAAAGAATCTGAAACATTTTAACATTTTAATTAATTGCTGTAATCTGCTTCAACTGCAACATTCTTTTAGAGATCTCTGTAATGATCAGATGAGTTTAAAAAGAATAGAAAGATAAAAAGATTTATTGAATCTCACAGAATGTTTCATGTTTCAGCTAGCTTGGCTATTTAAAAAACAATCGTTTTTCTACAGTGGCATTGAAAAATTAGTGAGAAATATTCCTGTTTGGTTTTTTTACTGGTATGATTTGATTTATTTAAT